GTAACATCACAAGCATCATGGTCTTCTATGTTGATGTACTGGATGCAGTTATTTGGAATTTATGCAATAAGCAGATTTATATAATTGAATCAAACTACTTTCCATTTAATATTTATACTGAATACCTGAAAAAATTAAGATGGAACTGTGGACGCATGCACTGACCAATATGAACTGATGGAACTTTTAAACAATACCATGGCATATAGCTAATACAAGAAACTTTGAGCCCCAGTACAAACCGAAATTGCATGTTGGGCAAATTAAAGCACAATGAACCCTAGCATAACCCGACTAAGTTGCAACTGCATGGCCCTAATATCCTTTAGTTTGTTATTATATAATATTGAATACTCTGCCTTGTGCCAGAGGTGGACATTAGACTGGGTTGCCTGACTCTGTATTGTATCCAGTAAAACGTTTACTTTCAAATTGATATGGATACAGCTTGCATGCATGTGACATCAAGATACTGTAGATGTATAGCGATGAAAAGTTGTGTAAAAAGACTCATTCCCATATGATGGCCATTTCACCACATGCATGCTTTACAACATTACATATATGCTCCTTATAGCAATTCTTGGAATTATAGTAATGAGTTCAAATCCATTTATAGTGGATTTCAACTCATTACTAGAATTCCAATTCTCTTTGATTTTAAATCCTACTTAAAACATCTGAGGTTCGAATCTAATTTATAATTTTAATCCAGTTAAAATATCTGATAAACATAAATACTGTCAACAGTTTTGAGTTAATCAATATTAAAATTTTCTTGTTAAAATTAACAAGGGCAGATTTGGTGCTCAACCAATTAGTGCATTTGTTTACATTTTCGCTCTCAGCCAATCATAATGCAAGAAACGCAAAATTTACACCAAGGCAAACTAGAAAATATTGCTGTCTTCTTGGGCTTCTGTGACATTCAATTTTAACTTTTTAAATTTAAAGCCAAAAGATTACGATAAAGCACATTAACCCATTAAGCGCCAGCACTCTCCCCTTGACGAGTAAAATTGTCTGGCGTTAGACAGAGTAAAATACTCTGGCGTTAGACAGAGTAAAATACTAAAGTAGGGTGCATCAGGGTGCAATACGACTCAATGGGTTAACTAGACACACAGGCAGATAGGCCAGTTAACCCATTAAGCACCAGCGCTCTCCCCTTGACGAGTAAAATTGTCTGGCGTTAGACAGAGTAAAATACTCTGGCGTTAGACAGAGTAAAATACTAAAGTAGGGTGCATCAGGGTGCAATGCGACTCAATGGGTTAAAATCTAAAACTTTGCCGTGGGCATTTTTAAATTTCGGCCTAGAACGGAAAATATCCATGTTTGAAAATTTTCCTTATGTCGCGTATACAAATGTGGCAGCAATAAAACTAAAAATTGCTATATTTCTCTGCTTTACGTTTTTGTTGGAAAACTCTTTTCCGCTCTTGTTGAAAATCGTTTTGCTCAATTTATTATTTCATAACCTAGAAGATAACGTGTTTAGAGAGACTGATTTTCTGAAAAACCAGTCAGACAATATTTTTGTATTGATTTCCCATATGATCGCGAGCATGCGACTATATATTTTTTAAATCAGGTGCTATAAACGCGTTGTCATCTAGGTTTTGAAGTAAAACATTGACCAAAACAATTTGCAACAAGAACGAAAAAAGTTTTCCAACAAAAACTTAAAAGCAGAGAAAATATAGCAATGTTTAGTTTTATTGCAGTCAAATTAGATTACTCAAATTTGTATATGCGACATAGGGAAAAATTTCAAACATGGATATTTTCCGTTCTAGGTCGAAATTTAAAAATGCCCACAGCAATGTTTTAGATTTTAATGTGCTTTATCGTAATCTTTTGGTTTTAAAGTAAAAAAATTGAATGTCACAGAAGCCCGAGAAGACGGCAATATTTCTAGTTCACCTTGATGTAAATTTTGCCTTTTCTGCATTGGCTGAGAGCGAAAATGTAAACAAATGCGCTGATTGGTCGAACACGAAATCTGCCCTTGTTGTTAAAATTAATCAATACCTTGTCCTTCATTATCAACCATGTAACAATACACTCTGAATACGAATGAAGACAGTTGCCAGTCGGGTTTCTAAATTACTAATTTGCAATTGGAATTACTGTCAGATCTCTTTTTCCAGATAACAATCACCAGAAGCTCATAACACACTGTTTTCGGCAAGATTCCAATCCCAACTAGTGTAAATACTGCGGGATTGGAATTATAGTCTGATCCAGTCATCCAGATATCATGGTCAAGAAATGAAACATGCATTTCGATAAGATTCCAATCCCAACTAGTATAATTGCTGTGGGCTGGATTGGTAGTATTCCAATCCTGCCTCCAGATAGTGAAAAAAAACAGGGTTCGTACAAAACTTGAAAGTCCTTGAATTTGAAAACAAAAATTCAAGGCCTTGAATGTACTTGAATTTGTAAAGAACTACTTGAATGTCCTTGAATTCTTCTTGCTTTAGTTTTTGGATATTTTCTGAAATTATTTGACATTCAAGACGGACATTTTGTTGAACTGATTTTGCATGTTCATATCTGACCTCATTATAAAGTTACGTTTTGAACAATTCAACGTCAGATTTTGCTGATTTCTAACGCCTTCTTCTTCTTCAGTATTTAGTCCTTGAATTTGTTGATACATGGCCTTGAATGTCCTTGAAAAGTCCTTGAATTTAACTCTTCCTGACATGTAGGAACCCTGAAGAAAAAATAAAACATGCATTTCAGCAAGATTCCAATCCCCACTACTATACAATTATTGTGAGATTGGTAGTATAGTCCGTTCTTGTCCTCCAGATATCAATAAATAAAACATGCATTTCTTTAAGATTCCAATCCCAACTGGTATAATTACTCATGGGATTTGTATTATAGTCTGATCCTGTCCTCCAGTACCCTGGTTGCCAGAGGTTCTGTATCTTTCGCCTTATTCCCACTTGTATTTATTTTATGCGAGGCGAAGAGAACCTCTGGTGGCACGCGATACAAATCTCTCTTCCATGCTGACGTTGCTGTTTGAGAACTTGCAAAACCGGTTTGATATTTTGTGACGTTTTTAAACTTCCGAGTTTGTCATACTACCAAAATAGCTCTCTTCAGATGTGCTTCAGACTGTTTGGCAGCCTTGTGTAAAATATTTAAAATAAGCAGGCCAAACATGTAGATTATTTATTAGAAACATGTAGATTATTCTCGCAACGCACAAAGCAAAAAGCAACCTTACTGATTGTAGATTGCCGTTTGTATTAGCGAACGTATAAAGCCAAAAGTGAAAGAATATAAACATATAAATATTTGTATATATGTGCAACGGAGCCAGTATGTAGCCTACGTTTCCTTAACAGACAACGGGAAAATATTGGCAAAATAAATCATATTAATAACTATTAAAGTCGAAGAATTACCAAAATTTAAAACTTTGAACGATATAAAGCAAGTGACCAACACTTTATATTTTACAAATATTTATAATACTGTAATAGAGTGAACATGTCATGCCGTCAACTCAAGTTATGACGCGATAAATTCCTTGATTCTCATCACTACACTTTGAAAATGTCCAAGAGGCGGGAGGTTTATATTTTATATTTATATAATTTAATATATATCAATAAATAAAAGTGTCACAAACTGAAATAAACATATATCTCCACGAACAATGACTGGCCCTTGAACTGAATGTGAAGTTCCGTTAAAATGCAATGAAATTTCTTTCAAGGTTCTATTTGTTTGAAATTGGCAGTTTAAAATGGCACTAAAAACCCAATATAAAATATAAAAAACTTAGCTGTCTTGAAATATTTTGACGGACAGTACATTTATATTGTATAACAAAATATAAAAAAATTTCACACGGCTCTTAAAATACAGTTGGGCGGTGATGAGAATCAAGGAATTTATTTTATGTGGCCTAACCCACACCAAGTCAAGCATTTTAATACGTTCGTATTATTTCTGTATTTTGTTTACATCATGTTCTCTGAGATTTATAAACAGGTTTTTTTGTGTAGCCAATCACATAACTTCATGTGACTGCTAATTATAACTAACCAATCATGTGCTTGGTACAAATTTTGTACCAAAGGAAGAGAGATTTGTATCGCGTGCCACAAGAGGTTCTCTTTGCCTCGCGTAAAATAAATACGAGTGGGAATAAGGC